CCCGCCCCCGCCCCCGCCCCCGCCCCCGGCCCACTCTTTAGGCATGCGCAGTTCCACCACTCCGCCTCCCGGGACATGCGCATTAAGAGCAAAAGCGCCTGAATCCGAATACGGCTGCGCAATAAAGGGAGGTCCGAACCGGGGAGCTACGGTTCCCAGAAGTCCACGCGGCACAGCCGTCTTTCGGAGGCGCGTTCGATCGGTAAGCTCGACAAACTTGTTGAGGCTACTGCTGTTAGGCGCCGAGACGCCAAAGAAGGAAAGACGGTACCTGTTCTCGAGAGTAAGGTTCGCGTCTGTATCGTGTATGTATGTATGTAACTATGACACAGCTAGTGTTATTTATTCAGTTAATAAAAGGATGGACAAGTTAATGGTGATACTCTGTAGTGAGGCAGAGCGTTGACAAAGCACTGTGTCAATTGCTAAAACGTGAGAAGTACGTGGAAGCACACATCAGGTGTAACTAACCCATGGGAGAGGGGGCGCGCAGAGAAGGTCGCCAGCAGGGTGAAGGGCTAGAGGTGAGGACGAGAGGGTGTTCTCAGGAAGAGGAGCAGCACGTGCGAACACTTAGCGGGGACTAGAGAGAATAAGTGCCTTTAAGAAAAGCTAAAGAATCTGGAAGTTATCCTGAGGACAGTTATCCTGAGAGTTGTTCTGAAGCCACTGAAGGATTTTAAGCAAGAGAATGATACGGCCAGGTTTATGTTTTAGCGATAGCATTGAGATCGTGCTGTGTGTGGAGGTAAGACTGAGGTGGAGAAACCATTGTGGTAAGAGATGGTGGTGGCCAGAAAGAAGCCAGGGAGTGGGGATGGGGAATGTGAGAGTCAGGTGGAGTCAAGAGATATTTAGAGACAAAAATGGACAGAACTGGGTTTGGGATTGGTTATGTTTGGGGAGTTAGACCAGGTGACTTCCAAGTTTCTGGCCTGTGCAGCTAGGTGGACAGGAGTAACATTCCTCAGAGAGTGAACTCTATGTATGAGGTGAACATGTCGAAGGAGGGAGGTCCGCTTGCTCCTCCACCCTTTTAACAAAAAGGCGTCCTGCATCTGGCATGTGATTTGCAAGTTTAGAGCACTTGAGACATCCAGATGGTCTGGTCTAGTGCTTATCTCTGTGATGGGCCTGGGATTTGGACATACCTGGTTTGAATCTCGACCCTGCTACTTAGAGGTATGATTTGGGACCCATCACCAAAGTTCTCAGCACCTTGATCTCTTCAGATAATGCTATGCCCACCTCATAGGCCGTTAGGATTGAGGTAGAGGCACTAAATGCACAGCACCTGTGGCCATACTGCAGTTGGGGGAGAGCAGCTGAGCTGGATATCCATAAACACATCCACTCACAGGTGGAGGGCAGCTGAAGCTGAGGAGGCCAGCAAACCTTGCAGGAAAACACTCCCATTTGGGGGCGAGGTGGGAGGGAAGGCAGAGTGAGGAAGGGTGTGTGTGGAAGCACCTGGCTCAGTGCCCGGCACAGAGCTGACCCTTAACGGCCACGAATGGTTGGGTACTTGAGAAGGGATCCTGCCTTTAAAGGGTCTGTCAGGTAAAGTAGGGAGCTGAGACAGTGCCACGTTTATCACACATGCCTTCATTCAACCAGCATTTATCAAATGTGGTCATGGAGAGGCTGAGGACACAAGAGTGATAAAATACATTTTCTGTCCTCAACTCTCTCGGGACTGAGGGGAGAGTAAAAAATATCACAGGGAGGGAGGTAGACCTACAGAAGAAAGTGAGGCCCTAGGAGGGTCTTGCAGGGGAAAGGAAAGAAGAGACTTAAAGAGGAGCCAGGAGGCAGACAGCCTATTGAGTGAAGAGGTCGGGGAAGGGGGTGTTTGGAGCCAGGCCACGTGTGTTGGGTTTTCTTTGGCCTACCCACCAACATGTGCCGAAATGTCTGGGGTGAGTTTAGAGTTGGGGGATCAGTTGAGTGAAATGCTGCTTTGCCCTGCTCTGGCTACTCAGTTGCTCATTTACTCATTTGTCACACTTGTCTGTATCGGACCTCCCAGGGTCAGGGAGCACAGTCTGGTGAGGGAGACCGACCCTCAGATACAAAGGTCACAGGATGAGGGTAGTAAGTGCAGACAGAGATGTGCCCCAGGGCAGTATGAGAGCTGGGGGGCAGGTCTGGGAGGACAGGAAGGGGTTCGGGAAAGCTTCGTGTTGGCCAGGAAGATGCGGAGGGTGGAGAGGCAAGGGTGTTCCTGGGCAGAGTCCCAAACTGCAGCACGGCTGCCTGGGAAACTAGAGGTTGTGGAGAGGGTTAGAGGTGGAGGGTGCAGTGAGGAATGGGCACAGTGCCCGACTGGGGGCTGGGGGCCTTTTTTTTTTTTTTTTAGATGTTGGGGGTAGGAGTTTATTAATTGATTTATTTTTGCCGTGTTGGGTCTTCGTCTCTGTGCGAGGGCTTTCTCTAGTTGCGGCAAGCAGTGGCCACTCTTCATCGCGGTGCGCGGGCCTCTCACTATCGCGGCCTCTCTTGTTGCGGAGCACAGGCTCCAGATGCGCAGGCTCAGTAATTGTGGCTCACGGGCCTAGTTGCTCCGCGGCATGTGGGATCCTCCCAGACCAGGGCTCGAACCTGTGTCCCCTGCATTAGCAGGCAGATTCTCAACCACTGCGCCACCAGGGAAGCCCCTGGGGGGCTTTTTGAATGAATGGGTAGGAAGGCTGGTGTCTGAACCTATAGGCCTTGGAGGCCTTGTTCGGACACTTAGACTAGCCTGGAGAGAAGGGAGCCACAGAAGGGGCTGGACCAGAGAGGGCCATAGTCCCTGTGATGTGACCCCGCCCTCTGGCTGCAGTGTGGAGGGCTAGTTGGAGGGAGCTGGCTGGTGGGCCAGGCAGGCTAGTGGAGGGGCCAGTTCAGGAGGGGGGGCCCTAAGCCAGGTCAGAGCTGGAGGTGGGGAGGGAGCAGGCCCGGCTTTGACCCAGGACCTGGCTGGAGTGAAAGGTTCCTGGGTTTGTGCCTGCC